CCCCCCCCCCCCCCCCCCCCCCCGTCCCCCCGCGGCTGTTAGCTTCTCCAGCGCCCCGCAGGCGTGCATGCGGCTCTCCGACGACCGCTACCGACTTCTGCTGCAGGAGGGCCACCGGCCCAGTTCGTGCTTGCAGGTTCCTACCTGCCTTCACTCCCCGCTGCCCCTGCGGCTTCCTTCCCCGCACCGGCGGCTCCGGCCCTGGAGGGGCGGCCGTCAGAAGCTGTCCGGCGGCCACTCCTTCCCCGCACCAGCTCCTGAAGGACGTCCTCCCCAGAGGTTCCACCACTGCCTGGGGTCCACCTTTGGCCACCTGGGCGCTTGGTCAAGGGCCCGGCGCAGAGGGAATCCTGCTTGGCCCGGGCCCGCTGCGAGGCTGTCGTTTCCCCCCTGGTGACTGGAAGCTCTGGCCGAGGAGAGCCCAAAGGGGGCCTGGCGGGCTCCTGGGGAGGACGCTGCCTCGGGAGAGGGGCGGGTCCCCTGCTCTCCGGGGGTGGGGTGGGGGTGGGTGGGGGTGGACGGGTGTCCGTGGGATGGCAGCGATCCCGGGGCCCCTCCGAGCCCGCAGGCCCGCTGACCCCCAAGGCCAGGGTCACCCTGGAGGGCGCCCCGCCCAGAACCTGCTAGCTCGGGCGGCCCGAAAGCGCCCTCCTCGTGCGTGCGTGTCTCCGGACTAAGGCGCACGTGTCCGCTCTGAGGGTCACGCACTGGTTCGCACAGGCGGCCACAGGCGACGCCAAGGCTGGTGGAGAAGGGAGTCCCGGGCCGGCCCAGAGGGGCCGCGTACGCATGCGCACCACTCTCTGTCCGGGGCTGCGCGCGCACTGCGGGGCTTGGCGCCTGCGGGACTCCGTACGGGCGTCTCCATGGCGACCGCGTGGGCCGGCAGCCGGCATTGTCGGGTTGTTGGGCTGCGGCTCTCCGGGGCGGGCCGTGCCGGGAGCCGCGGGCCAGCGCTGCAGGTGAGGCGGGGGTGCGGGCGGGTGAGGCGGGGTGCGGGCGGGGGTCGGGCGGGGGCGCCGCGGGCCGAGGGAAGGCCGCGCCCCGCGGGGTCCCCGCCGCGTCCCGCTGCCCTGGGGAAGACATCTCAGTCCGGAACTTAGGCCCGGGGTCCGAGCCGCCCGGCGCGGGGGGTGGGGACCCCGGCGCGGCCCCCCGCGAGGAGCCGGCTCCGCCCTACTTCAGCGGCTGCGGTTCCCACGGGGTCTCGGGACCGCCCCGCCGCGGGGAGGCTGCCGGGCGGGGGTCGCCGCACCCTCGCGCCGTCCGCGGCCGCCGGTCCCCGGGGGAGCCCCGCCGGGAAGGGCCCGCGCGTGTGCTGCTGCCGCACCTGGGGGCCTGGCCTGGCTGGCGGCCGGCCCTTCCCTGGCCCCGTCCCCGCGTGCGTCGCCCTCCCCCGAGGACGCGGTCGCCCCCAGCTGCGGCAGCCCCGCCGCGGAGGGTGTCGGCGCGCGGGCTCCGGCCCCGGCTCCCCTGCGCCGCGGTCCAGCGCCCGCGTCCTGCCGCGGAGCTGCTTCCGAAGCGCGGTTGGCCGCCCGGGGCCCGTCTGGGGTCCGTCCGGGGTCCGCCCGGAGTTCAGGATTCCATCTGGACAGACTGTCCCAGCGCCCGGCCTTGTGCCCCCCTGACCCCGTGGCGCCCCCGGACCGAGTGGCGGAGCGGCTGCGTCTCCGGGACCCGGGGAGCCTGACTCCGTGCGGAGAGCGGGGCGCCCTCCACGCCCGGGTCGCGGGAGGAGCATCCCGGCTGGCCGGCCGAGTGGGGAGCATCCCGGCTTGTCTGTTCCCCTGAAGTAGCCTTTCTTGTTTTGCGTCAGCGTTTTCCAGGAGCTGGAAGCTCAATTTCGGGGCTCCGTGGCGCGTGGTAGAGGGAGAAGCATAAGGTTCCGCCAGAACCTTCTTGACCTCCCGCTCCCTTCCTTCCTGCAAACTTAAATGTCAGATTTATGCTACAGCTTATTAAGGTGATGGTTTTGTAAGCAAGGGAAACCGTCGTGCTTCTGCTCCCCTGTGCCCCCGGGAGGACGCGTCAGGTCCCCTCCATGTTGCTGTGTCTCCCCTCCCCATCTCCAGGTACCTGCAGACCCAGGAGCATGAGCAGAGGAGCCGACCCGCTGAGAGATGGAAGGAAGCAGCTCCTGCGAGGTCCCCCCCGGGTCTGCTGGTCCGGAGAGCGGACCAGCTAGGGGCACCCCTGCTCCCCCCTCCAGAGAGGTTCACAAGGGAGCTCAGGGGCTCATCTTTTCTTCCTCGTCGGTTTTAGACTTGAGTCAAAGTGGTCTTCACCACTTAGGAGAGATCTTTAAAATTCCCAGCCTCGAGGTAAGTGGGCGTTTCATAGGGTGTTTGTGCTTCTGCCAAGTGGACGTGAGGGGCTTTTACTTAGAGTTCTCTGCTTAAGAGAGTGTTTCTAGGATGAGGGTTAGAAGAGGGTTAACTCGGGGTCTCATGTGGTGAGCACATCACAAAAGAGAAATTCCGGCAGGGGGACCCTCGTGGAGTCACACTGTGATACCTAGCCTCTCTTCTTGGGAAAGTCGTAAGCACCAAAAGCCGGTGGTAGAAAGCACTGCGGAAAGCACCCTTGATCTCCTGTTGAACCCCCCCGCCCCTCACCAAGACCTCCCATGTGGCATTAAAACAGGTAAACACCGTTTCTCACCCCTGCCTTGCAGGCGTCACATGCTGACTTTCCCCTGTGCCTGGTGCCTCGCCGGGCCCCCGCCAGCTGCTAACCTAGTGGGTACCATCTCATCCTCTAGGGTTTCTAGAATAAGGTTCCATCGGAGCACAGTGTGGACGTGAATGGGGCAGGAGTGCAGGGCTTGGGTTCCTGCTGCCTCGGACTCACGTAATTTCCTTAAACCTGGTTTGTCTTCATCTGGAACACGAGAAGGAGACCATTCTTGTGGGTCATTATGAGAATTAGGCTGTAAGGCTCGTGAAGTGCAGCGCCCACAGGGCCCGCGGTCACATCGTGCCCGTAAGGTGTCGGCTGCCATTTGGAGCACTTGCACAGAGCTGTCTGCTGGGGTGTCAGGTGCCCCGCTGCCGCGTGTCACATGCCATGCATTTGCGGTCACAGCCGGCCCTGCCCCGCTCTCTCTTCCCTGAGCGCCGACCTCTTGCAGTGAATTAATTCCTGGGTCATCAGGGCCGCGGTGTCTGAGCGCAAACACTCCCGACCGTGAACGAGGGCTCCAGCACGTCGTGAGCTTTACAGGACCTCCATGCACGAAGGAAGAAGAGGAAATTCTGAACTGTTCTTTAGGCTCAATAAAGAAACATCACAACTGTTCATGCCTCTCAGAAAACAGAGGTGGTTACTATGGCAACCAATCACGGAGGGAGGCGGCCGCAGTGTGCGGGCGAAGCAGTGATCTCTGAGGTCACCAGTCACGCGTCCAGAGATGTGCGCATACATGGAGCACAAAGAGGCCGTCTTTGCGGGTCCCACGCAAAGGGTAGGCTTCTGTGGTACTGTCACTTCGCTGGTGGCTGGAACAGCCCTTTGCAAAGAACAGCACCATCTCTTCCTGCCTCTTCTGGCCTTTGGGAGGATGTGTGGGTTCAGAGCTGAGCCCTAGAGCCAGCTTGGCCCGAGAGAGAGCAGGCCTGAGAAGCTTGGAGGCCACGCTGCCGCTGAGGCCCGAGCGGGCTCACGTCGAGGGACACACATGCTGTGCGGGTGTGACGGCCTGACCGTGTCCCAGAGACTGGCTGTGGCCAGCATGGTGTCTGGCCATGCCTTGGCAGGCTGGAGAGTTCCCACTGCATGCGCTGGTAAAGCCCCTGCCCTACCTGTGAAGACACGCGGTGCTCTGCGTTGGAGGCAGAGCTGGGCTTCATGATGCTGTGGCCGAAGGGGGTGGCTAGTCGCACAGGCTGCACTTAGGGCTCCTCAGTTGTGGTGGCCGCTGCTTCCTGGCCCCCCTCTGTGCAAGTCGCTGCTCACCCCGTGGACCCAGGCAGGTGGGTCATGTGACCCCTGCACAGGGGCAACACCAGAGCACAGAGAGGTTTGGGAGCCCACTCAGAGTCACACAGCTAGTAAGGTTCCAAATCCAGATTTGAGCCCAGAGAGTCTGGCTTCTGGGCCGTTCTTAACAATCGTGCCCCACCGGCTCGGCGGTAGAGGAGTTCGAGATCCTCATGGGACGTGCAGAGCAGTGAGGGGGCGCACCACATGCCACAGCGGCACCATTGCCTGGGGCACCTAGGCGCTCCGCCACTGAGCTTCTGGTTCCTGATCTCTGCTCAGGTCTTGACCTGACGGTGGTGGATTCAGGCCCCGCATTGGACTCCACGCTCAGCATGGAGCCTACTTAAAAATTCCCCACAATCATGCCACGCTTTACTACAGACTCTCACGTGTGCCATTTACACAGCTGCAGTGAGCGCCACGTGTGCTGACACGGCCCTGCCCTCCCTCTCACGTCCTGCGACAGCGGCTGGCTTCTGTGGAGCTGCTGGTGGTAACCGGACACAGCGGCCCGGCAGCCGAGGCAGACAGCTTTGTGCATGGTTCCTTTAGTTTCCTGTGAACTCTTGGCTTGGGTCGAGTCCCTGGGACCAGACTCGGCTCATGCCATTTGTCCACTGACCACAGTGACCGCGGGCTGCCTGTGACAGGCACTAGGGAAGGGGCAGGGACAGCAGAGCCCAAGAGGCGTCATGTGTGGGGCCTAGGAAGGAGGAGAGGGACTGAAACACTTGGAGAGTTGGTCTGGTGTTCAGGGGTATTTGCAGAGAATGTGTGGTGTGCGCAGCGGCTGTGGCTGAGCCGTCAGCCGTGAGGGAGCCACGGGGCCAGCCCGGGAGTCACTCTGCACACCCAAAACCTGGGCAGGGGACCCTGATGCTTTCCTTCTGACTCTCGTCTGCTGTTTATAGTGTCTAAGAGTAAGATCTTCTGGGATTTCTTTTCACTTGATGTGTGTGAGTGCAAGAGCCTGGGGTTCTTCTGGAAATGCTCTAGGTTGCATCATGTTTTAAAATGCAGTTAGACAAGACGTTCTCGTTTCTTCTCCCCGGAAGCAACTGCATCTTCAAAGAAATGCCCTCTGCGAGCTCCCCACAGATTTCTTCCAGTTGCTGCCGAACCTCACTTGGCTGGACCTCCGCTGCAACAGAATTGAAGCACTTCCTTCTGGGATTGGGTCTCACAAGTAAGTTGTATGTTTGTTTTTCCAGATTTGAGACCATCGTATGTTAAAACGTCTGAGTGCCAGCCCTTGTGCTGCTTAGCTCCTGCCCCTGATTGAATTTTGATTTCAATGCAGAAGCATTTAGCGCTGTTTTTAAAGCCAGCTGAGAGATGCTGTGGCTGAATGCACAAACGCACAGAACTGGGTCATAGTGCAGGAGGCTTAATAGCACGGAGAATGCTGGAGGCCACTGTGCCTCTGCTGGGCCAGCAGTGAGGTGTTTGCGCCACCTGGTTCCAGCTCTGACCGTCCTCGTGCGAAGCTGCCAGAAGGGTCAGGAGCCGGGCTGATGAACTGCAACCAGCCTCTCAGCTCCCAAGGCCTCGGGTACCCACTAGTTTCTGATAAATAACAAGAAATGCTTTCCATTTTGGGGAGCTGGAAACCCCAACGTAAGCAAGGCCTGTCATCCTGCCATGTTCCTGCCGCTCTGAACCCGGGGGCTTCATAGCACCCCCACGCCTGGAACAGACGCCGCGGCTCCCTCGTCCTCACGTAGCCCCGGCCAGTAGCCCTGGGTCCCCTCGTCCTGGGTCAGCCGCCTCAGACCCCCAGGAGCGGGGCTCACGGTGCGCTCCGCCTCCTGTCCTGACCTCAGCGCCTCCAGCTCCCGCTTCCCTCCCTGTCTGTGTTTCCTGACCTTGTGAGAACCTTCCGGTAAACACTGTAGGATCTCCTTTAATGTGAGTGCCTCCTGGGCAGAGGAGAGCACACGCATAGGCTGTGGGTGTGTGTCCACAGGGCGACGTGGGGGACGGCCAGGCGGCCCGTGTGCCGGGACACAGGAGGGAGAGGGGCCACCCTTGCAGGCTGGGCTCGCCATGTTGGGTTTCATTCTGACCTGAATGGTGGAGTCACGGAGGATTTGAGTGGAGAAGGTGGGACTCGACTTGGCCTTGAGGTCACTCTCTAAGGAGGGGGGTGATGGGCGGCTGGTGCGGAAGCAGCGGCCGGAGTCAGGCTGACTACACAGAGCTGCAGGCCACTTGAGAAGCCATTGGGGTTCGGGATGGCCATTGGTGTTGGAGGAAGACAGGTATGCCGGGGCGACCCCCCCTTCCTATGTGAGTAACCGTGTCCGCAGAGAGCCATGCGGCCACTGTGACTCAGCAGACCAGAGGTCTGTACAAGGCCCTTCCCGGGCCTGAGCTGTAGCTCACTGTTGTTCAGAGTGATTTTTAGGAAGTGAGCATTTTGTCATACGTCACAGTGAGAGAAAATCCCTGTGAATCATTTGTGCCTTCGCCGGCTCTGCAAGGAAGCAGCTGATTTCTGATGCTGAGCTGGGGTCTCTGGCTGGGGGAGTCGGAGCCGGGAGCCGCCTTCCTGGAGCTCCTGGACTAGTCAGGGTCTGAAGATCGCCTGCCGTGAGTTGTGCCACTGGACACACAGAACTGTGGCCTTGGCCCCCAGCAGGTGGCTGAGCCTTCCCGGGGCCTGCGCCCACCATGTCTCCTCTGGCCTGGCGGCCTCGCACGTCCTCCCAGCTTGTGGTCGCAGGTGGACCGGGAAGGCGTTGTTCTTCCCAAGGTCCTCATCTTTGGTGCCGAGGGTAATTCAGTGCTTTCTGTCCAGCAGCTGGTGCCCGCACAGCGAGGAGACGGATTGCTACTCAGAGGGCAAATAAGCAAAAACCCGTTCCCTGAGCACTATTCTTTCCCAGAAAGTAAGCCCGTAGCCCCCCAGCTTCGGAGTTCTTTGATTTTGCCAGTCAAAGCCAGCTGCTTAGTATTGTTTTAAGATACAGTTTTGCATGTGATTTATAGCCCATTATGTCATTAAAATTAGATCAGCTTGCCGAAGTGCTGAAACATACTCATCAGAAATGTTAAGTAATTATGGGCTTATTAAAAGCCTTAAACTTTCCGAAAAGCCTAATTAAAGCAGTGCCAGTGTTAATGCTCTCCCCTCTCGTTGCCTTGGACGTGTGAGCTTGTGCGCAGAGAGCGAGCCAGGACGTGCACGTCGGTATGTGCGCCCCTCGGGCAGGCAGCTCCGGCTCCGTGTGTGAACGTGTGCTCCAGGGGAGGTCGCCGGCATCACGGGGGCGCGGGGGGCACTGCTGATGGTGTACGGGGTCAGCAGCGTGTCAGTTCATTGCTCGAGGTGCACGAGAATATCCACACAGATCATTGCCTGGACACACTTTCTGGGGGATGGCGGGTCCCCATGGCCTCCGCCCACCACTGCCGACCCCCAGGCCTGCAGGCCAGTGCTCAGGGGCGCCCTGACACACAGGACCTGCTGCTGGGAAGCCCAGGCGCCCACCCACCTGCAGCCCCTGGTCTGCAGGTCTGTCTGTCCTGTGCAGAGCCAGCACCCACCCATCCTCCGCCTGCTTTCTGTGTTCCACAGCTAAAAGGGGCTGAACCCAAAACAAGTAGTTGAAGGGACACTGAAATAATGCACCTTTGTGTAATCAAGAAAAGTTCAATGGATAAAGTCTGTTCCTTTAAAACTTCAAATAAGAAGGGAAAGCCAAGAGAGCAAATGGAAAGAAAATTGCCTAATCTTCAAGAAATCTGATTTTCCTTTGGGGTTGCCAATCCAAAAATTAAGCTTAATTTAACTGGAATACTAGAGCTCTGAATTGTCCGTCTGTAAAATGGCCTTTTCCCTTCAAATCCTGTGGACTCTGGTCTGTTGTGATGTTGGAGTTTAGTTTGTTTCACCTTCGAGGTGAAATGAGGCTTGAGAAGGCTCCTCCCACTCACAGTGCAGGTTCGTTGATGGGATTTGTATGTGTGCCCAGCTGCTCCTCTGTACCCCAACCCTAACTGAAACCGGGGGACGCAGCTTGGACCCCCCCCCCCAGTCACTTGACCTACCTGGTGGCTTCCTAGGGCCGCTGAGGTCAGCGATAGAGGAGAAGGCGGCTAGGGGCTTTTCTCCAGGGGCTCGTGAGGTCTCTTCCACCGGGGCAGGCAGCCGGCCCCACACGGTCGGTGTCCCTGCGCGCCTGGAACACAGACAAGCCACCCTGCGCTGTGGGGCGGCTAGTGTGCTGGCTGGCAGGCCGTCCCTGGAGATGGGGTAGTACAGCGGGTTCAACAATCCCCTCAGAGCCCTGGGAGGCCCAGGGTGACGTGCGTACAGGGCGGCTGGGGCTGGGGGTCCTGCCCTCTGCCTGGACGCACCCCCCGCCTCCCGGCTGGAGACATGAGCCTCAGGGTATTGTGGTCTTTTTATGTCAGATTTCAGCTGAGGGTCCCTAAAAAGGGAAGGAGAAAAAGAAACTAATCCTTAGTGTATGATGCAGTCTTGAGAATTAAACGTGCAAACAGGGAACCTGGGGGCCGGGTGGCTCAGTGGGTTAAGGCTCTGCCTTCAGCTCAGGTCATGGTCCCAGGTCCTGGGATCGAGCCCTGCATTGAGCTCTCTGCTCAGCAGGAAGCCTGCTCCCTCCTCTCTCTCTGCCTGCCTCTCTGCCTACTTGTGGTCTCTGTCTGTCAAATAAATAAATAAGCCTTTAAAAAAAGAATTAAATGTGAAAAACAAAAGCAGCATAGTAGGGTAAAAGGGGCAAGACCGAGTTTAACATGAGGTATTCGTGTTTCCCCATCCCTGAGTAACTTTTCAGTGGGCACCTTGTATCCTGTCTCTCCAGGGTACATTTTGGGCAAGATTTTCTAGGAGATGTTACTAGGTACTAGGGAGGGGATCTGGAGTCAAAGGCCTAGAGAGACGCCCCTCATCCCGCCGTGCTCTGAGACTGCCCTGGCCCTTCACGGCGAGTGACCCCGCAGGAGGTGTGCAGTGTGGCAGAAGGCTCCCAGGTATTTCGACTGGGAAAAGTAATCACGGAGCATCTCTGAGGGCTGGGGTCCCTGCAGCACACCTCCGGGAACGCTGAGATTGGCAGTCTGAGCCCCGACAATGCCCAGAGATTTCCTGGTTGTCACGGCATCGGGAGGGAGTCCCCCTGGACTGGCGGGTAGAGAGCAGGATGCTGCCGGACGTCCCACAGGGGCAGGGAAGCCCCCCAGCAGACCGTCGCCTGGCCTGGGTGTCAGTGTGCTGAGGCGGAGAACCTGGCCTGCTGCTGCGACCACGAGCCACGTGGGCAGGCAGCCGTGGCCGCGCGCGTGGCCCGCAGCAAGCGTCTGCGCCCGCAGTGACATTGTCTCCTTAAAGAGGCGGCGAAGGAAGACATTTGATGCTGTATTATGGGGATGGTCATTTCATTTTCTGCTTTTTAAATTATATATTTTTTATTTTGTTTTAAAGGCATTTGAAAACTTTGCTTTTGGAAAGAAATCCTCTCAAAATGTTGCCTGTGGAGCTGGGTAAGTGTTCAAACGATCAAATAAAAGCTGGCTTTAACCTGCTGCTTTTCAAGCTCAGGCAGCCTGTACGTCCCAGGGGCGAGCTGGCTCCTGCTTTAATCGTCCCTTCCCCTTCCGTCCTTCCCGGGCTCTCGGACAGCACAGCGCTCGAGAGCTGTCGTGTTGGAACGTAGATCCACACGGAAGGTACGACACAGAGGGGAGAAGTAATTACTGCGGAGGGCTGCGTAGCCAGAGCACACCTTCAGGAAAGCGGGCCCCAGCGCTGCCCTGCGCAGTGGTGCTCCCCCTCTGTCCCTCCCCCGGGAGCCCGCGGGTCCTACAGCCTCTCCTCACTTCCCTGGCGAGCTTGGCCACTGGCATCTCCCTGACCGTGCACGTGTAAAGGGCCTCCTCTTGGACTTTCCGTAAGTTGACTCGGACCGGTACGGGGTGCTGGGCATGCGTGGTTCGGGCTCAGCGCCGAGCTGCTGGGGTTTATGCGTGGGGAACGTGTGTAAGTGTAGTGCTTTCATTTTTATTCCTTTTCCCGGCTGTAAATAGTGAGGAGGACGCAGAAGATGATGTTCTCTGGTCTGCGTCTGTCTGTCTCCCGTTCTTCTGCTCTTTGCTCTGTTTTGTTAGGTTTTAGTTGCTGTTCTTTTCCTAACCAATGGAGTTGCAGGCTTAGATCACTGTTTTGTTTTTTTTTTTAAGTTTTTATTTTGGGGGGGGAGGGAGCACAGGTGGGAGAAGAGGCAGAGGGAGAGGGAGAAGCAGGCTCCCTGCTGAGCAGGGAGCCCCATGTGGGGCTCGATCCCAGGACCCCGGGATCATGACCTGAGCCGAAGGCAGACGCTTCACCGACTGAGCCAAATCACCGATTTTAAACCTTTCTGTCCTAATCCATGCAGTCACAACTGGTGATTTCCCTCCAGCGCTGCCTTAGCTGCCCCCACAAGCCCCCACATTGCACATCTCCACTGTCATTCAGCACAAGATATTCTCGAATAGACTATGACCCATGGGCTCTTCCTGTTTTGCTTCATTTACACACAATGGGAGACTTTCTAATTCTCTTCCTTTGGTTGAATTGTAATTTAATGCCACAGACGCTGTGTAATTTTGGTTATTCGAAACTTGTTCAGGTGTGCTTTCCGGCCCAGGCTGCATTCTGTGTGGCAGGCATCGCCTGGTGCACGAGAGAAGCGTGTGTGTGCTCACGCGGCCACGTGATGAGATGTCCCATGTATTGGGTGAGGTCAAGTTGCTTGATCCCAGCGTTCAAACTGTCTACGTCCCTTTGTGTCTGTTTATTTTGCCAGTGCCCGCAGGACCGTGTTGAAATCGTGAACTATGTGCATTTGTCCGCCTTTCATTTTAGATCTGTCCACGTTTACTTTATATATTTTGATACTATGTTATTGGTTGAATAGAAATCTGGGATGTTTCTATTGTTAGTTTTGTTACTCTTGTGCGTGTAGTGTTACTGTGTTGTGGTTTTCATATGAGGTTCTCTGATGGCTGGTGACGTGGACACTGTCCTATGCTTATTGGCCATTCGGTGTGTATTAGTGATGAAGTTTTAGATACAGGTGTGGTTCAGTGGGGTGGAGTCTGGAGCCGATGACCAAGAACGAATTCGTGAGACGTCTTTGGTGCAGAATGGTGGTTTATTAAGGCGCAGGGCCAGGACCGGTGGGCAGGAAGCGCTGCTGCCCTGTGACCCCGAGGACTGGCTGGTTATGTGAGGACAAAGGGGTTCAGAAGGACTGACGTACGGTAAAGAAGACTGTCAGGATGCGGGAGGCCTGGTTATTGTCAAGCCAAGCTAAGTTTTGTTTCGTTTTTCTAATGAGGTACCGACATGAAGACAGTTGGAGTCTTCTGGAAGTTAGGTTGTTGTCAGTCACGAGGACACTGGTAAACTGAGGGAGACTCCTGTCCTGCAGGACTGTGATCTCTGCTCCTTAACCATCTGCTCTCAATGTAGGGCAGCCGGCAGTCCCCGAGGACTGCCACAGATGTCACAAGGTGGGGCTGGTGTAGGCCGCCAGCTTCCGTCTTGTCCTTAGCTAGCCTTTCGCTCCCCATCATCAGTGTGGGTCCTCCCCCCTTCTGCTTACTGTTTGTATGGTGCATGGTTTTCATTCTTTTGCTTCCAGCCTGTCTGTATTTACAATACATTGCTCGTGTTGTAGGATATGGTTGGGTTCACTCTTTTATCCAGTCAGACAATCTCTGCCTTTTTAATTTTCGTGGGTTTTTTTTTTTAAGATTTGTTTATTTATTAAGAGACAGAGAAAAAGCATGCACGTGTGTATGAGCAAATGGGGAGGGGCAGAGGGAGAGGTTGACCAGCAGACTCTACTGAGCAGGGGGCCTGCGGCTATGACCACAGCTGAAACGAGAGTCGGCTGCCCAACCAACTGAGCCGCCCAGGTGCCCCTATTTTGCCTTAATTCTTTTTTTTTTTTTTTCAAGATTTTATTTATTTATTTGACAGAAAGAGAGATCAGAAGCAGGCAGAGAGGCAGGCAGAGAGACAGAGGAGGAAGCAGGCTCCCCGCTGAGCAGAGAGCCCAATGTGGGGCTCGATCCCAGGACCCTGAGACCATGACCTGAGCCGAAGGCAGAGACTTTAACCCACTGAGCCACCCAGGCACCCCCCTATTTTGCCTTAATTCTTAAAGGACATTGTTCATCTAGAAATATGGTTGGATTCTTTTAATTGAGGACTTTAAAGAAGTTGCACTGACTCCAGGCCTCAGAGGTCCTTCATTCTTGGTTCTCCTTTATCAACTGTGATGATTGGTTTTGGTTACTTTTAAGGTTTTCTGTATCTTCGCTTTTCAGCAGTTTGACTATGAGGTACCTGGCTGTGGTTTTCTTTGTATTTAGCCTCCTCGGAGTTTGTTGATTTTATTCAATTTTTAAATTCACGTCTCTTGCCAAATTTGGGAGATATTTTGGTCATTAAGCCTTCAAATATTTTTCTGCTCTTGGTCTCTCTTTTTACCTATTTGTTGGAATTTTTGTTATTGTTCCACAGTTCACTGACCTTTTGTACATTTTAAAGTCCACATTTTTATGCTCTTCAGAGAAGATAACATCTTCAGGTTTATGAGCCTTTCCTGTCATCTCCAACGGGCTGTGAACATTGCCTAGTAATTTTTTTCAGATACTGTATTGCCAATCTTAGAATTTTCATGTTTTATTAGTTACTATTTTCTACTGAGAGTTCTTATTTTTTCATTTGATATGAACATATTTTTCCTTTAATAATTATTTGGATTATATCTTGGATATTGTGATAGATACATTGCAGAGATTCTGGATTCTGTTATATTCCTCTTTAGAGTGTGGGTTTTTTAAAAATAGGTAGTTACGTTCCGAGGACTGAGACAGACTGCAAACTCTGTCTGCCTGGCGGAGGGCAGTAGCTGTGGCCATGCTGTCCTGCACGTGGGAAGTTCAGGACTGTGAAGACCATGTACACGGAGACGGAAGGCTCCCCTTGGCTGTCCCCTCTCTGGAGTCCAGGCCTTCACGCTTTAGCTGCTGTGGTAGCTCTACAGGCCATCCTCTGGCACTGCAGGTCGTTATGACCGTAAGGGCTTCTGTCTGCTGCAGCTTCCCTGTGTGGTGCAGAAAGCTTTACAGATGCTACACTCTTTCGTGTCTTTCTCTTCTCGGAGCTGTTGTTCCTCCTCTCGTTTCTGCCTGCTTTCCATTTCTGTCTTGCCCGGTTTCCACAAACGATCTCCTGCAGAGTTGATCTGATTGGAGCTGCTCCAGCACTGCTGGAAGTAGGATCCCCTCAATGTACCACGTGCAGCGTTGCCGAGTGGTTCTCTAGGAGCCACGTGCACGTCCTTGACCGACGAGCGCCTGCAGAAATGAGTGCTCTTCCCGTTGCCTCCTCCCTCCTCTGTCCTGTCGTTTTCATAGATTTTGCTTTTGTCTTGCTGTAAATCCGGCAGATACATCTTCAACTGTCCATATTTATTTATATTTTCTTACATGTTTACTCTTCATTTCTCAAAGTTCCCTGCTTCCACCTGGGATGACCATCTTAGCCTGAAGATCTCTCTTTGCTATTGTCAGTTAGTCTTTTGGTAATGAATTATTCAAGTTTGATTTTCTAAAAAGGCATCTTGATTTTCCCATCATTTTTGAAGAATATTTGACAGAGTGTAAGAACCCAGATTTCATTTTAAAGTGTCTTTATTGTCTTCTGGCTTCTAGTCTCTGTTGAGAAGTCAGCTGTCAGTCTTACTGCTTTTCCTTTAAAAGCGATGTATCTCTCTTGTCTGGCTGCTGAGAATGCTTCTCTTCGTGTTTGATCTTCAGCAGTTCACCTGTGAGGTGCCTGGGTGTGGCTTTCTTTGTATTTACTTTATCTGGGGCTCCCTGAGCTTCTGGAATCTGTTTATTGATGTCTTTAATCAGATTTGGAAGATCCCTGGCTGTAAACATGATTTCTGTAGATCGGGCTTCTTTCTCCTTCTCTTCTCCTCCTGGGCCTCCAATCACATGGGTGTCGGGATTTTGATTCTGTCCCACATGCCTCAGATACACTCTTCTTTTCCCATCCCCTTTCTCTTTGTTCCATTTGCCCAGTTCTGTCTTCTGCCGTTAAGCTCAAGTGCGTAGTGCAGTGGTGGCGAGCTGGGCGAGGAATTGTGTGCACGGCAGGGAGTTCTGAAGTTGCGAGTTCACTTTAGTAATTGCCGCGGGCCGGCTCCGGTGAGCGCTCGTCCTGCAGCAGGACGGTTTTGGTGAATTCGGCCCCTTGAATGCAGGATCTTCCAGCCTCCGAGTATGTCGCTCCCCGTCATCCGGCCTCCGCTCTCCTCAGCCGGGAGTTACTTCCGCTGTCCCCTTGTGTGTGTGTTTCTCTTGCTCTGTTTTCAAGATCGTTTACTTTTCTTTGCATTTCAGTGGTTTTGACGTTTCTAAGTGTGATTGCCTTTGGCTCATCTTGCTTGATTGTTGAATGTCCTGGAAGTTACACTGTCTGTCACCCAAGCCTTTGCCCAGTGCCATCGTGTGGCGCTCTGCTCGCCCCCTTGTCCCCTGGGGCTTGCCACGCTCCCAGCAGCCAGCACGCACGCTGCCCCGCCGACGTCCACGCACCTGGTTTCACTGATCTCCCCTCTGACCGTCAGCGAGGGCGCTTTTTATCTCGCGTTCACGCGTTTCCTCCGTCGTCCGTGTCTGCCGTCGGTCCCTCTGGTGCACTTTTCTTCCCGGGCTTCGTATTTGCAACTCTAGGACTGTGGTTTGGTTCTTTCTTAGAATTTCTGTTTTTGTTGACATTCGAGACTTGTTGAGTCATTTTACCATGTTTTCCTCTAATTATTTAAACGTGGTTTTCTGCGTTCCTTTGAACATATTTGTGGCTCCTTCGAAGTTGTCTGCTTCCTCCGATATCCGGACTGACGTGTGGACAGTTTCTAGTGGCAGCTTGTTTCCTGAGTGTGGGTCGCAGGCGCTTTTCCTTTATATCCCCTTGAGGGGTTTTGTTACTGCGCAGCCGCTCCTCGTGACGTGACTTTGCGCCCCACTTCGGCTGGTTTTCCTGCGTCCCCTTGTTTGTTCACTCGCTCTTGTGGCCGGAGCTCCGTCCGTGCAGTCCGCCTTCCCTGCACGCTTTTTCAGAGTAAATTGCAGACATCTGTCCATCTGCCCCAAATCCTCAATGAGTCTTTATTTTTTTCTTTAATATGCAAACAATTTCCTCTGCCTGTCGATTCCGCGGAAGAGAGTATGAAGTTCCGGGCTTTCTCCTTGCGTGCAGGGAATGTGACCTCGCTGAAAGCACTGAACCTGAGACACTGCCCGCTGGAGTTCCCCACTCCGCTCGTGGTGCAGAAGGGACTGCGTGCGATCCTGGCCTATCTGCAGATCTATGCCGCCCAGCACTTCGCCCTCCAAGATTTAACTTCTCAAGGTTTGTGGGACAAGTACTGCAACAAACAGTGATAACACCGAAGTTAGTGCTTTTTAAAGCCAGGACCAGGGAGGCTGTCTCGTCCCTAGATGTCACAAGGAGTACACAGGGGCCTCACGTGTCCTCTGCGGGACTCACACTGTGTTCAGGCGTCTGCGCTGACCTGCCAGAGCAGTGTCTTTTCTTGGTTCTGTATTCCTGGGTTTGCGTTCTCCGTGCCCATGATAGAGCCTGTTGGGGGATGAGGGAGCCCTGCAGTCACACTGAGATGAGGTAGAGATCAGGGAGAGTTATAACTGAATGCTTACGAAAAAGTAAGTATTCCAAACATTTACTTCGGAATATCTAAACATTTACTACTTAAAACATGACGTCTAGAACGAAGAAAGTGCATACATTTGGAACAGCCACGGTAGTTCTATATGTGATCTAGTCATACCGTGTAAATAATGAGTCTACCTCGGTAACATAAGGAACGCCCGAAGTGAGGAGACAGTGCTGTCGTGCTCAAATCATCTTCATCCAAAATCCAAACAAACGGCCCCCGCGTGCCTACTTTTAAAACACTGATTGTATTTGCAAAGTGTCTTGGTTTGAGTCCCCCAGAAGCTGCTCCCGAGTCAGGAGTCAAGGGCCAGTAACTGACTGGGGAGGAGATCCCAGAGGGCAGGGTGGAGGCTGAGGCAGGGGAGATGGGGAGGGGAGGAAGCCAGCATGGCGGGGAGTGGGGCAGATATGGCCTGAACCAGTGCTTGGTCCTGCTGGCTGCCACTTGGAGCAGAAGCCCCACTGGGCCTCCACGGTCACACGTAGCCTCTTGGGTGCCGCCCACGTTGACCAGGTCAGGACTGGTGATCTACGAGGTGATACTTGTCAAGGGCCACTGCTGAACTCAGGTCCAGGAGTTCCTCCCAGCAGAGCGAGGGAGTAGGGCACGTGTGCCGCGGGACGGCACACTTGGTTGAGTCAAGGGCTTCCCCTAGGGGCGGGCGCCCAGGTCTCCAGCCCTGCAGGAAGTGAGGCCGGCAGGCTCTGGAATGGTGAAGGCCACGGGCATGTGGTGGCGCCAGCGGTCAGCTCATGCATCTGTTTTGTCTGCTGCCAACCTGTTACTAGGAATCATGAATCTCCTTGTTTCCCAGAGAGTACACCAGCCTGACCTCTTAATTGTGGATCAGAATCCACTGCCATCACTCAGAAACCCAAAGCCAAGAAGGAGTCTATGTCAGCATGAGCTGTGCTGATTCTCTCCGGTGAGGGTGGGGGATCTGCCGTGGGAGGCTGGGGTTACTCGTCCGGAGCTGGCCCAGAGCTGGTCCGTTCATGAGGGGACCTTTGAGCCTAGTCCTAAAGGCAGGAGTATTCCTGGCGAATTTTCTTACAGGTAATTTATCTAGAGATGAAAGTGTTTAAAGTCACCAAAAGTATTCCAAAGAGAAAACAGTAGGCATGTGGGCTAAAAATTGGTAAGAAATAAAGATATTAAAAGATCTAGGGTGGTAGGGAAATAAGTCTGTTTATTTGCATAGATTTATACGGAGTGTGATGGCCACGGGGCAGGGGGAGCTTCCCCACCCCTCCCAGGCCTTCCCTGCAGAGAGAGCCTACCCCCAACCCCCCCACCCAGACCTTCTCTGTAGATGGAGCCTGCACACCCCCCCTTCTCTGCAGAGGGGGCTGGTCACTGGGTCTGTGTGGTTCTGGGGAGCTGGTGTCCAAGTCCAGTCTACTACAAGAATGTTGGTCGTCTTAGTGATTTCGCCAATTACAACGATGAACCGAAGTGAGCTGCCGCAGCCCTCGTTGTATTTGTCTGAGGAGGAAACTGTGCCCGACGAAGACGCCATTCCTTCCCGGGAGGCGTCCTTTTTCCCGCCTGTCGAGAAGCTAGACCTGAGTGAGCTGAGGAGGTCCGCCGACTCCTCGGAAGACTGGCCGGGCGAGGAGGAGATCAAGCGCTTCTGGAAGCTGAGGCAGGAGATCGTCGAGCAGGAGCGAGCAGAACTGCTTGAAAACCAGCTCTTGCCGCTGGAGCTGCCCCCAAACCTCAGGGCAGCCTTAAACACGGAGGAGAAAGTGCATTCCAGCCCGAGACACGTGCTGAGGTAAAATTCAGAAGCTGTGGCGTGTTTTCGGATCTTTCCAGAGTTGTAATGTGATTTTGCAGTTAACTTCTCGGATGCCAGGCTGTGCCTGGCCCGCGTTCATTGTGCAGTGCACGCCAAGCCTGGCTTGGGGTCGTGGTTACCCAGAGTGAGGACCCCACAGTGAGGATTACACAAGAGAAGACCCCGTGTGTGTGTGTGTGTGTGTGTGTGTGTGTGTGTGTCCGTGCGCACGCGAGCGTGAACATAAATGTAAAGGGAGTATTTACCGGTGAATGTAGACCATGTGTTCCCGGGGTGGGGGGAGCCTCTCCACTGGGACAGGGATTGGGGGCGGGGGCGGGGGCCGCAGAACCCTCGTGCTTGCTCTGGCTCACGGCACCACACAGCTGAGCTCTGTGGACACAAGGACGCGTGTCCGGCGTGTCTGTGAGGGTCCAGCTTTGTGGACGGGCTGTTTGGACGGGTGAGCGTGCGCGGTCAGGGCCGAGCCGCACAGAGAAGCGGACAGAAACCTCGCATTTACTGCGCGGGGGGTGTTTGGGGTTTATCACACTGTTCTTTCCCCGGTTCTGGGGCTTGAAAACTCTGTGAGGTCTGATTAACGGGTGACCATCTCGGAAGCTGTGGAAGCATGTGAGGTGGGTGCCCGGCTATGACGCGGCCTTGACAGTCCCACACCTGCCGCGTAGAAACCTCTCCCTCCCCGTCCTCCCCCGGTCACGGATCCGCTTCTGAACAAGGCCGGGAGCTCATCCTGCTGAGTCCCGGCTGCCCGGCCCACGCGCTCCGGGATTCTGCGGGAGTTTCAGACTCAGAGTCGGCCCGCAGCCCCTGGCGCCCAGGCTGTGGGGCCCTGGGAGGGCAGCCGCGTCACGCCATCTGTCCCCCCGCCCTGCTGTACACGGTGCATGTTGTGTTCTAGCACGGGCCCTCCGAGGGCGAGTGTGTCTCGCCGGGGCTGGGACTGTAGGAAGAAGCTCCCCTCTGTCAGGAGTGTCCTGCCGGCCCTGGCACCATCGCTGCAGCGCGCCGGGCTTCCCACCAGGAGGCCCCAGGAGACCGGGACTGCGGCCACCCGTGAGCACCGGGAGAAGCAGGCGGAGACAGGGCAGCGGAGACGGTGAGTGCTTGTCCGCACAGCTGTGGCCCTGCTCCCACGGGGGTCTGGGGCCAGGCCTGCTGGTGGCGACTCCTCTGGAGAAGGGCTGGCTTCTGCTCTTCGTCTGGCTTGGTCTCGGACCGCCTTGGACACAGGCCTCGGGCCGTCACTGCCCCGTGTCCTCTCCAGCCCGCCTGCTGTCTTTTTCTCTGGCTTCTTACTCTCTCAGCCCCTCTTCCCCTCCTGCCAGTCACCTGGCTCACAGCTGTGTTCTAAGGAAAGGTCCACGCTACAGACGTGCGCTCAGGGACAGCCCACTCTCGTCCCGCCTCGCGGGCCGTGTCGCTGGCTACGGCGATCTGGTCTGCCCTGTAGGAGCCCAGCTGGGGCCTGTCCTCACGGCCGCCTCTGTCCTCCAGCTCCACCGACCACCCATCTCCCCTGAGCTCTGGGCCCCGGGAGGCCGTCCAGTGTGGACTGTGTCCGTAGGACCCCAGTGCCCCTCTCCTGGCTGGGTTTGGCCAGTGGGGGCCCCAACAGGAGACTGGAGAGGAGGGAGAGAGGGAGGTCAGGGTCTTTCTCCCCCGGCTCCTCCCTGTGAGTCTACCTGAGTCCCTCCTCCTGGAGCTTGGGGTGGCTGCGGCCCCTATTCCAGCCCCGGGCTCCTGCTCTGGCCCTGGGGGCCACCCACCGCTGCCCTTGTGAACAGACTTTCCTCAGCCCTTAAAATCATCCCGCATGTGCATATTTTCTCTCAGGACCCTGATGGGGACAGACTTGCTGACAAACGCAGTGTGTCAGTGGTGCACCTGCCTGGTCCCCACCCCAGAAGGCACCCTGTCCTGGGGATCCAGTCCCTTCTGTGGCAGGAGGGAGCACTCAGGACCTTAGAGCTGCAGGGCTCACAGGGCTCCCAGCTCTGGGCTGGGGTGACCCTCAGGGGTGTGTCTGTGCTGCACTGGGAGTCCTTGCCATCCCGGCAGGGTCACGCCGGGCCACAGGTGCCGGACCGCCACCCGGCCTGAGCTTAGGCCATCCCCCCGAGAACCCTCAAAGAGGCCCTTGGCAGGAGTCTGGGCTCCAGGGCAGGCAGGTCCTACTGCTTCACCCCAAGCTCACACGGCTTTGCAGGGCGGGTCTGCAGAGCTGGTACACCCGTGTCTGGGCTCGCGACAGAGCCCTCCTAGAGCAAATGCACAGACTTGACCCTGACCACCAGGGTGCCAGCCCTCCCCTCACTGCTCCCGTTCCGTGCTGCAGGTGCGTCCCCCTCCTCCCTCTGCTCCCGTTCCGTGCTGCAGGTGCGTCCCCCTCCTCCCTCACTGTGCCCCCTTTCTTAATGGCCCGTGTGGCATCTCTGCCCTTCCCGGCCCAGCCTGTGGTCCAGACGGTACACAGGACAGTGTGCAGGGCGCTGGCGCTTGAGGAAACGCTGGCCACGGCGGGATGCAGGGGGCAGGGAGTCCGCTTGCCCAACAGCTTGGCGGGCTCAGGCGCTGCCCGCAGTGCCGCACTCCTCCGTGGAAAGAAGCTCTTGAATTCAGGGGCCGGGGAACGCTCTCTTCTTGATTTCCCTGCCATCAGCCTGAGATGATGTTCCGTGGCCTCCTTGGTGGCCGCGGGCAGAGTGCTGTCCTGTGGCTCTGTTCGACTCAGCACGGTCTGCGGGCCACTGTCACACCACCTAAGAACCTCACCCCGGGACCTCGGAAAGGCTGGGTCCCTTCCGTCTTATTTCTCCAAGATGCTCAGATGGAGGCCTTGTGTCCAGGGGCACAGCGAGGGGTGCGGCCGTGGATGTGGAGCAGCGGAGAGCCCGGCTTGGCTGAGGCAGGGGCTCAGGAATCCCTGGGAGGGCACAGCAGCGTGCTTGCAGGAGAGGAAGGCAGGGGACCCCCGAGTGTGCTGTGGGTGAAGCCCGGGGCCAGCGAGGACGTACTGGGACCCCGTCCCGTCCCCAGAGCAGCCTCCATAGCCGAGCCAGGGCTTGGCTTTTACGTTCAGTTCAGAAATGTCGCAAACGTCTGCTGCTCAGCCTCACCTCTGTGCTGCGGGCAGTATCGCAGGGGTGCTGTTGCCGGGAGGGCCCGGTGCGGGGGCAGGGGGGTGACGGTGCGGGAGGGGGTCGCCGTGCAGGGGGCGTGGGGGTGACGGTGCAGGGGCAGGGAGGGGACCATGAAGGCCTTTGACACCGAGCTGGTAGCCAGAAGCCGGCCTGTTCTCTGGGAGCAGGCCACTGCTGGCAGGGGCTGGGGGTCCTGCTTGTCCCCTTGCACGAAGCCGCAGGACAGGAGCAGACGAGCTCCTCCCCTGTGTCTGGGTGGAGGGACGGGACGGGTTTGGGGCGGAGCCCTGCTGGGGCTGTTTCGGGCTCTGCTGCGAAGGTGCCGCGTATCCCCTGCTCCAGAGACGAGCGAGTGCTGCGGGAGTTGCGGGAGCACGCCCAGACCAGGAGGACGGCGGAGGAGGCGCCGAGCGAGCCCCTGCCTTGGTGGCGGAGTCTGGTACGGGGGGCTGGGGGGGAGGGGTCCTGTCCAGCCCTGGGGCATGGTGGTCCCTGCTATGCAGACGGAGCCTGAGGCCAGAGAACAAGCAGACCCCTGCAGCCCCGCCACCTCCTGCCGGCCCTCTGAGCGGACTGTGTCCTTCCCGTGTGAGGAGTCGGGTCTCTGGCCAGTGGAGGGGAGGGGACAAGTACCCCCACCCTAAGGCTGAGGCACACCGCAGTGTCCTTTTGGGGGTCCTGGGCTGGGGCAGCCTGGGGATCAGGGTGGGGGGCTGCACGGCTGTCCCCTCTGTGCCTGCACGCCAGCTCCCAGGTCGTATGGGGCACACTCCCCTGAGTGCGCGTGTCTCCCCATGTCTGCCCAGACCCGCCACGGGTCTGAACGCAGGCAGCTGGGGCACCCAGCTCGCTCCCTCCCCCGTGAGTCCCCGGGGTGGCTTCAACCCTGTCCTGTAGGAGGCGGCACCTGCTCGCGACTGCCCCATGTCTGTGCTGTCGTCCTCTGAGTGGAGGCCGCTGTGGCGGACGGCAAAGTTTTGTCCACGTAGCCACCCCCACCCCAGCTCCCGCTCCCACACAGACCGCCGTCCATGGGAGGGCTGCCGGGTTTGCCGGGACAGCCTGCCCCGGCACCGTGTCGCCCGCCTTGCCCTTCCGGGCACACAGACCAGCTGTGTTGTCGGGTGGTTTCTACAACTGGGCTGAGGCATCGTGTCTCACCGAGAATACCACAGAGGGGCCGTCCTTTCTCTCTGGGATCCCGCACGGCGCCCTGGGGCTCTGGTGTCCATCCACCTGTTCCCCGTTTGCGGGTCTGTGTCCCCCTAGCCGCTGACAATTGTTGGGGGACACTGGGCGGTGTGCAGAGGCATCCCCATGCCCTTCCTCCCACTGTCCTCCAGGCGGGCTCTGGTCTGCCGCGGGCGCCCCAGCTCGCACCTTCCTGCCAGGAATGTCTGTGTGAGTGACGCCGCCTCGCCTTGCCCGTGGCCTCTGTCAGTTTAAGCGAAGCAACGGTTTGGCTCGCAAGCAGGTAACGGGAGGACACGCGTGTTTCCGAAGCCGGTGTCGTCGGGGTCCTGGATCCTGCCTGCGTGGCCCAGGCCCCAGGTCCTCAGAGCGCCAGGCGGGCTGGGACTGCGGCCCTTCCCACAGAATCCGCGTGCGCTCCGATACCTGCACTCGTGCGCGGGAGACCTTTCCCGGGAGACAGCAGAACCTTTGGTTCTCAGACTCATCCTGGACCCAAACCCGTTGTCTGCGGAAACTGTTAGAGCGACGGCAAAGCCAAAGCAACTTCGAAGGAGGCCACACTTCCCACCCTTCACCTCGTCCCCGCGCTGGGGCGGGCTGCCCTCTGCTCCTGCCCGGCGTGCACGCCTGCTGCTGTCGCGGGGTCTTCGCGGTCCGCGTCCTGTCCCCTCTGTCCCATAAACATTCAAAACTCGTGTTTCGTCATCTTCAGAACAGACTTGCACAGGCAGACACTCTAAAGAACATCTTCAGAGCTTCGTTATTGCAAAAAGTTGGACACTTGGGAAAGTGGGGAGGTGGCCCTAAGCACCCCAGTTACGGGTTACCCCTGCGGCTGCCGGGAAGGACGAGTTGGCCTGGTACCTACCGACTGGCGTTTCTCCCGAGTTCCTACCAGTTAAAACAGCCCAGGTGGAGACAGCGGAGACTCACGCTGGTCTGTGAGAGCGTATGCTGCGGCCTGGCGAGGACACGTGTGTTCCTTGTCCCCACAAGGCTGTGACACCCTGTGGGACCAGGGTTGCTGGCATGTCTTATTCATAACGAGACCCGGGGAGCACAGCTGAGTCTCTGCATGCGGGGGTCTCAGGGTGGGGCCCTAGTGGCCTGGCCCCGCGACTGGTCACTGGAGTGGGGCTGCGGCTCCACGCCTGTCCCAGAGCCTCGTCCTGTGCGGCGCTTCCGGAAGCTGTTCCTCAGTTAGGGCCTCTGGGACGGGCAGTGCGCGTGAGCAGGTGTGTCCAAGTTCCACGCGCCACTCTGGCGGGTTCTTCACCCCGTGGGGTGGTGAGAGCCCTGCTTGGCCGGTGGTCAGCCGGCGGCATGGGGGGCAGCCCGGCCTGAGGGACCGAGCCCTGCTCCTGGGGGGCCTGCCCCACCCTCCGGGGCCGGTGTCAGGATGGAGCTGGGCTGTGGGCTGCTGGCTGGAGATGTTACCCCGCGAGCTGGAAGCCGGCCCACGGTGGGCATGGAGGTAAGGGTTCCGGGAGCCGTGGGTGCCAAGCCTGGAGAAAGCGCCCAGCCGCTGGCCTCAGCACAGGGCATGCTCTCGTCCGAGCTGACAGCACCTGCCCAAGGGGCCGCCGCCCCGCTGCGTCCTTGCTCGCCCAGGTGGCCCTCGCCTTGCCGAGGCTACAACACACTTGACCGCCTTGATGGGAATTTCCAAGCACGTGGGACAGAGGAGGGTGACGCAAGGGCCAGGTGCCTCGTGGGGTTCCGCAGACCCTCTCCCCATACCCCGCAGCTGAGAGAGTTAGACCCACGCGTCCCGTCCTTGCCCCTGCAGACACTTAGTGTGTGTCCTTCAGGGACCAGGACTCAGCACGACCACAACACAGGACCACTGCCAAGAACCACTAGGAAATAAATGCTTTCAGACCACCAGCTGGTCCGTGCCCAGTGCTGCCACGTGCCGCTGGACCAGTCTTAGCTCCTGCCCTGCCCTCCCTGAGCCCCAAGACCGCTGGCTCCACTCCCAGCCCAGTGCCCGCACCCCATTGTCACCCAGGTCCTGCCCGGAAATAGGACTCTGCACGTGCCCAGCTGTCCCTTCTCAGCCCCTCCCAGCGCTCCCCAGCTCTGCTGGTGGTGGGGGCCCTGCTAGCTGTGGGGTGGGAGCATTCTGGCCTCCCCCTTGCCCTCTCACGCACCCCTTCTTACCCCGACCTTGCCAAGCCCGACTGCTCCTCTGGGCTTTACCATTCACTTAGCAGGTGACCTTGAGAAGAGAGAGGCCACCAGAAGGGCCAGTACCGCCCACACTTGCCCTGGTTGTGTCCTCCACCGGCGGAGCAGGGACTTCTGCCAGCTGCCCCCTCTGTGGGCCCACGTCTGCTGCTCCTAGCCTCCTAGGCACTTTGCTGTGGCACACAGACCCCTTCCTTCCACCAGCTTCCCCTGAGACCCAAGGCCGGGGTCCAGGCCGGGCAGCATTCTGCAGGGCGCCTCCCTGCCCAGGCCCTCCCTTGGTGCCCCCAGCTCCTGGAGGGAGACGTGCTCTCTGCCCCCACTAGCCCCTCTCCTGGACTCTCCCCGGACCACCTCGTTGTCGGGCCCAGCGAGAAGCAGCTGTTTTTGTTCTGCTCAGGTTGGGTGTCCCCAAGGTGCCAGCCTGTCCCTCCTCTCAAGGCTGCGGGACACTCGACACCCCATCCTTTCATCCATTCTGGGCGCTCGGGTCCCTGCCCCCTATGGCTGCTGTGAACACGGGGGTGCAGACACCTGTTGGAGTCCCTGCGCTCAGCCCTTGGGGGCGTGTGTCCACGGGGCAGTACTGGAGCTGACTTCTTGCAGGTTAACTCCAGTTGGAGACACGACTCCCGTGACGCTCTGCGAGAAGGTCACCCCGTGCTGCAGACCTGGGAGCCACGTGGAGATACTGAACACAATCACTGTTGCATTTTCTAGCCTGGAAACTGAGGAGTGTCTGTATGACCTGGAACGACATGAAGTTTTTGTAAATCAGAAATACAGAAGTTCTGGGACTGACGATGGAAAATTTTAGGTTCATTAAAATGATACTTCTAGATGGACTGAAATGCCGTAAAGTCCAAAGATAGAGGAACATATTTGTAACATGCGTTGAGACAAAAGTTATCTATGAAGAGTGACCACAAATAGACTTTTAAAGAATCTGGTAGAAAAGTGGGCAAGGGGCAGCCGCCAGGGGAAAGCCGATGGTGACAGGCAGGACGGAGGCTCGGCCGGCTCAGGCGTCCACGCACAGAGACACACGCCCGTGGATTGCGCTGTCCTCTACCAGGTGATCGCCTCCCAGTGAGAGCCAGCCCTGCGCGTCCTCCCCAAGACATGGCTACATCAGGCTCTGTGCTGTCCTCGTGTGTCGTCGTCCTCCCACCCCGCAGAAGGGCTGAGGGCCTGCAGGGAAGGGGACGGACAGGGCACCACCCAGCCACCTTGTTTCCCGCCTGGCCCCTAGTCCTTGCTCTCGGCAGAGGGCTGGGGATCTGGAAAGTCTTTTCCAGGCTCTACAGAGGGTAAAACATGGCTGCAGCTTCTTTCCGAGTAACGTACTTTTATGCTAAACAAAATGAAGTTGTGTGTCTGACTTTGAAAAGCACTTAGCGAATTTACTACGTTTGTTCTTTTCTTCCTGTTGGAATAACATTTCGGAAAGTCCTCGTTATGTGAAAGTGGGTCAGCTCCTGCTCTCCTCTCACTCCGCCCCCGCCCCGGGGGGTTAAGCGTCTTCTAAGGGTCAGGCATGTGACGACCAGACAGACCAGGTGCCTGTAATCCACTTAGAGGTGCCGCGCTCGTGAGACCGCTGCGGGCACGGTCTGGGTAACCGCTACACTGATCCCACTTAGATGCCTACTGGAGGCGGCCCCGGTAAGGCCAGAGCTCACCCTGCCCTTCTCCTCACCCCTGCACCTGCCCTGTCCTTCCCCTGCCCAACTTTCTGGCAGCCAAAGGGGCACGCCTCCTCAGAGGCAGGCGCACAGACAGAAGCACAAACACACGCAGGTGCACACGCAGGTACACGCGTACACACAGATCCCCAGGCACAGGTGCGCACACAGCTGCACTCAGGTGCACGTGCACACATGGGTCCCTGGGCACAGGTGAGCACACAGGCGCAGTCAGGTACGCACAGAGCTACGCAGGCAGGGGTGCGCACAGGTGCGCACACACGAGTGCACACGGGTACATGCACACACAGGTATACACACAGGTGCATGCACATGGGCGCACACACACACACACAGGTCTATGCCCCTGTGCTGGGAAGAGATCAGTCTTGCTCTCAGACTTCACCCCCCCCGGGGAGTGGGGGAATCTTCGAGATCTCTCACTCCTCTCCACCTGTGTCCCATGGACGCTGCAGTGTTCACTTGGAATCATAGTGCGCTGTGTCCCAAAAAGCCAACACTGAAGCACTGCTCTTGGGTCTTCAACATTTATTTGTGTGGGTGCATGATGTCATTGATCGAAGAGCCGCGAACTCGTGACACGGGCTCTGCAAGGACGCGACTTCCCTTCTGTCCACCTCTCAGCAGTGGGCGAGCGCTTGCACTCACTTGAAACTCAGCAGCCGAAAACAGAGCTGCGTCCACGGAAGAGAGTTGGGGCCTTCATACACGTGACCGAACTTCGGACAGGGATTCACTTCCTGGCCCTCCTGGCATCCCTGCGCCTGCCACCTTGCTCTCCCACGGCCCGCATCTGGCCGACCTGGGGCAGGAGTGGGTGGCGCGTGGCTTCCTCGAGACAGTGGCCAGTGGAGGAAGGATGGGCACGGCCGGGCGCCTGGCTCTGTGTGGACGGCAGTGCTCCCGCAGATTCCTGAAAACATCTGATGTTTTTCCAGGTGGGCTCAAAGATTCCCTTTGCCATGGATTTGATAGATAATGAGAAAATGCCAGCAAATCCATCTGGAAAAATGAGGTCAAGCAAAGAGAAGTCATCAAAAGCAAGTAAAGACAAGAGGTTGGTACCCAGGGTCCAAGTTACGCAGACGCCCCCGCCCCCAGTGCAGTGCTCATGGGCAGCTCCCGAGGGCCCGGCCCCCTGCATGCTCCAGGGAGTGGGGGCGGTCCCTACGCTCCCCCGCAGGGACCAGCAGCTGCTGGGGGGCCTGCATCTCTGTCGTCACCTGTGTTCACGCTTCGGCGGTGTGCTCGCTCAGCCCCGATGCCGACCTAGCGTCTGGCCCCCGGGAATGCCCGCTGAGCCCCTCACCCGTCCCCAGCTGCTGCGAGGCGCTGTTGGCATGGTGACCCACCCGAGCTAAATCTGTGTGTGCGTGTGCATTTGGCCAAGGAACCGCTCACTTCTTGCCTCTGCACACAAGGCACTGAGCTGTGATTCCACCGCTCTGCACCCAGCACCACCCCCCAGGCTCACTGGGGAGCCGCGGGCAGCCGGGGACACTGCTGGGAGACCCTGGGGCTTCCGCACCATCTCCTGGGCCCCTCGTGCTTCTCCAGCTGCTCCCTTCTGACCTGCACCAGCCCCGCTCTGGACGCCAAAAGCCCAAGTGGAAGTGAGCTGTGGGTGTGGGGGGCCTGCCAGGGGACTGGCCTGACCGCCTGGCCCGCATGTGCTGTCACTGCCCACCACTGTGTGTTCCAGTGCGCTGCAGACTAGGTGTGATGCGAGAGGCCTGTGACACGTGAACTGCGAAGGGCTGTTCTTTCTGGGGAGTTATGCCTCCTTCGTGCCTAGAACACTTGGCGACAGTCTTGCGGTCCGCACATAGGATGAACCTCCAGCCACGTGGAATGATTTAGATGAACACGGACAGCAGATGTCCCCTCACAGCTCATGAGTGTTGCTGTCAGAAAGCCCCGGCCTCCGACCACCCTGTAGTCAGGGTCAGAGGCGTGGACACGTGGGGCAGGGTTGGGGGGGCTGCTGGGAGGAGCTTGCCAAGCCAGTACAGACCCTGCTGCAGGGGTGAGGCCGGACCTTCAGGGAGGGACCCGGCCAGGGGGAGCTGGTTGCATTCCCAGCAGACTCAGTGCGGGCTCCACGGCCAGTGCTGCCCCTCCCACACGCCCTTCCAGAATGCTCTGCCCTCTCATAGTCCTTGTATTTAAAGACAAGAATATGTATTATACAAATCCCTGATGTTGGCAGAGCAAGTGTGTCTAAAATCCTGGTCTAATACGTCCTGTTTAAGGATCTGCTACAACTCTGTGTTTCCTACGAAAACAGAGACCTTCCCCTGTGTGTGGCTTTCTGTCCTGAATGTGTCATTTCTTACCTAGACTTGAAGTTGACAACATAGTGTGTGTTCTCGCCACTTCTAAACACCTAGGCCTGTCCGAGCTGCTGCCTGGAGGGGGAGCAGGTAGCCTCTCGCAGCCTCTCGTGGCCCCACCGTCACTGCGTCGTCACGCATCGTGACCGCTCCTGAGCCCCGGGACCACAGTGTGGCCTGGAGGGAAAAGCAACATGTTCTTCCCCGTGTTGGCAGAGGAGTTGCTGAGACTTGACGCGACGTGTAAAGTCCTCTCCCTCACCCTTCGTGTCCCCAGTGCTCTCCAAGAGGAGTGTCCGAAAGAAAACCCGAAACAGCAGACTCAGAAAGCACACGAGGGCAGAAGATGGTTTCAGGGGATGGAGCCCCTCGAGGAAATCGGGCCGGCCACACGGGATTGGGAGGTTGTGAGTATTTGTCACCTGTGTGTGAAAATAAACTGTTCTGGGAAGAATCTGGGAACGTGCCACACCTTTTCAGAGCACGTGTTCTCCGATCACGGGACCGTTTACCGGCATGCCCGGGATCCCGGTTAGAGGACAGGGGAGTGTTTCCGTAGTAACTGAGCCCACAGATGCGTTGTGCCACCACGTGATCAGTGGAGACAATAAGGACGTGCCTGTGGTGTCCTCGCTGACGCTTTGTGCCCAGCAGAGCCTGGCGGGGCCGTGAGAGGCTGCGTCCAGGCCGCAGGCTCGCCAATGTTGGTGTGGTGTGGAGGCTGGCCTCTTCTCATGCAGCCACTGGCCATGTGCATCTGTCCGCAGGTCCTGGTAGGTGCCTGCTGTGTGTGCAGAAGCGGTCGGGGTCATGAGAGTGATGGCAGCTTCCCGCCCTGAACAATGTAGTTACCCACCCAGATGCTCCCTCGCCCAGATGCTGAGTCTCTGACCGACTCAGAGAGTCTGTGTGGGCTGACCCAGATGCTTCCGTGCCCTTGCTGCCCATGGGTGCAGGAGAGCCTGCTCTCTGGCCTGTGAGTCTCACCGCGGATGCAGCGGCTCCGCACCGAAGCTGCCCACAGAGCCCATCGGAGGGCTCCATTGTCACCTGTCTCCGTGGGCCTGGGGTGGGACAGGGGAAGAGGGAGTGCAGGCAGAGGGCCTGGGCCATGCCATGGAGATCCCCCCATCAGACTCTCCCCTCTTCTCAGAACCTTTTCCTTCCCAGCCCAGAGAACTGTTCCTGCCCTCGGGTCAGCTTTATTCTCTCCAGATCCGTTGTCTACAGCTGTAACCTCCTCCTTAAATACCCCAAACCCGACCTACGGCTTCTAAACGTCTGTGTCTCAAGTTTCACATTGTGCAGCGAAAGTCTGTTTGGTGGTAGGAACAGCTCTGTGCTCACAAGCCTGATAACCTAACATGAAATGGACCAGTTCCCAGAAAGACACCACCTGCCAGAGCCCACACAAGAAGGACGAGATGATCTGAACGGATGGCTAGCCATTAAAGAAATTGAATCAGTAATAATTTTCCACTGGGTTCACTGGTGAATTCTATCAAACATTTAAGGAAGAAATTATACCCGCTCTCTATAATCTCTTCCAGAAAACACAGACAGAAGGAAAAAAATCATAATTCATTCCATGAAGCCAGCATTTCCCTGATAACAGAACAAAGGTGTCACATGAGAGGAGAACTACAGTTCTCTCCTGAACGTTGATGCAAAAATCCTCAAAAAAATTAGCAAATGAAACTTAACAACATATAACAAGAATTAGACACCATGACCAAGTGCAGTTTATCCCAGGTGTGCAAGGGTGATTCAGCGTTTGAAGGTGAATTTATGTAACATTAAAGAAGAAAAATAACGTGATCATGTCAGTGGATGCAGAAAGAAACATTTGACAAAACCAACACCTATCTGTGATAACAGCTTTTAGCAAACTAGGAAACGAGTGGAACTTCCTCGATTTAATAAGGAACATACGGCTACAGTGAACGTCATCCTTCGTGGTGAGAAACTAGAAACCACCCTTTCCCCTGAAGGTCAGGAACAAAGCAGGGACGTCGCTTCTGAACATCTCTCCCCAGCATCATATGGGAAGTCCTAGCTTTTGCAACAAGACAAGAAAGGTAAAAGATACACAGATTAAGAAGCAAGAGCTAAAACTGTTTTTGTTTTCAAATGACATCATTGTCTATGTAGAAAACCCAAAAGAATTGACAAAAAATTCCTGCAACTGAGAAGTGGTCATGGCAACATTGCGGGGTCCAAGGCTAATATATAATAAGCAATTGTTTACCAGTACATCCGCAACTGAGTGGGATTTGAATTTATGAACATTT